CACATGACTTTCTACTAAACAAACTGGTGAAGGAGGATCTTGTTTCTACAAACAATGTGTGCTTGAATTTTGTATTAGATGGTATGAGATTAATGGCCAGTGTCAACGAGGAACAGTGTGTACAACAACCAAGGAAATGCCTGGAGACAAACATATCTGCAATATTTGTTTGTGGAGGAAAAAGGTCTTTGTGTTACTTTCCAAAACAAAATGTGTGGTACAAGTTGTCAGACATGCTTTTTCAACATGATTATCCCAGCAATCCAAGCCAATGCAGGGGAGAAATTTACCTGCCCTTCCAGGGGTCAGATCAGCTAGGTGGGTCTAGTTTAATGGAATGCTACAGACCTTCTGCCAACTCTTGGGGTGCATTTCAAGTTACAAAAGCATTTACTAGAACTACAGTTTTGAATGGACTTTTGTATGCAACTGAAGAAAGCTTTGAAGGTTTTGAGATAAACATATATCATCCTGAAAAGCCTGACTGTTGTAATAAATTAAAGAAGCCACCTACTACTCTTTTTAACGGTTGCATTGTGACTGATGAGCAATATATTTACCTAATAGGTGGTAGATCGCACTGTATACTACATACATCCTTGTCAACAACATACAGACTTGATCCTAGTGCTGATGATCATGAGTGGGAAGAAGTTGCACCTATCAATCAAGCTAGATACAATGCCTTTGGAGCTGCCATGAATGGCAAGGTGTACATAGCAGGTGGACGTCATGGCCAAGCAGTAGCACTTGGCACATGTGAGGTTTACAATCCTGTAACCAATGAATGGCAGCTGATGCCAAGTCTCAAGGTACCTCGGATGTCAGCAAGCATGGTGTGCCATGAAGGAAGNCCAAGCAGTAGCACTTGGCACATGTGAGGTTTACAATCCTGTAACCAATGAATGGCAGCTGATGCCAAGTCTCAAGGTACCTCGGATGTCAGCAAGCATGGTGTGCCATGAAGGAAGGCTTTATGTTTTGGGAGGTGTCATCCCCTTGACTGGCAGATTGTCACGGGTATTATCAGTTGAAACATTTGATTCTGAGCAAAATAAATGGAAAGAGAGATCAGTTATACCAGTTGATCGCTTTGAAACAAGTGAGGAACAGAAAATGAAGAATATATTTAAAGCTTGTTCTGCAAAACTTTGCAAAGAGGTGATTGACAAACTTGAGCCATTAAATAAGTAGCCATCTCTCTGTTTTATCAGTGTGAGGTTTGCATCATTTTTAGGTGGAATAATTTTCATGAAAAGCACCATATCTTTCATTTATAGAAGCTGCATGAATGGCACATCTTGTAACTTATGATGTTTTTCCAATCAAGTTTTGTTTTTTAGTTTTTACTTAAGAATGACTGACATCTCAGTATTGATCTTCCTAAGAATACTAGCGATTGACTTTAAGCTCTATCAATTGGAGTCTTACAATGTCATTTGAGACAACAACAGTAATGATCGATGCTTAGCACTAATGATTGACCATTAACAACTTACGATTTGTTGTTAGAATTGACAATATAAAGTGTTTAACTATAGCAATTTGCATTTTTGGCAGATATTGCTCCGATCCCATAAGCATTTTGTTTAACGTTGGGTT